TGGTGTTTCTTTGTGTGTCCAAATTTCCTCTTCTTATAAGGACAGCAGTCAGACTGGATTAGGGCCCACCTAACAGCCTCATTTTAACTCAGTCAGCTCCTTTACGCCCCTATCTCCAAATACAGTCACATTTTTAGGTCCTGGGGATTAGGGCTTTCACTTATGAATTTGGCCACCCAAATTCGGCCTAGATGAGGAAGAGAATATCTGTGTAACTAACCTCTGATAAAACGAAATGCCGGTAGATATCATCCACCAAGCGAAAGACAAACACACTCACACCCTTCTCCTGCACAAAATTGCATGCGTCTGTGACATGTGTTTTGCCCACCCGTTGGGGCTGTGTGTGGCCCTGCATGGGTACGAAGAGCACAATGCAGCACCCTTCCGTTAAAGCAGCCCGGTGGGAAAGGGGCGTGGGACAGGAGGTGGGGCTTGTCTGTCAAGGTCAAGGTCAGCTGTGCTGGTATCTGAACAGCATCTGCTGAAGCAGTGGGAAGTAATGGGGGGGGGCATGAAACTTTTCCACAAACCCTGTGGGTTCACCTCCCACTGACAACGTTTTTTTCCTAAAGGAATTTATCCTAGCCAGTTATGAAATCAGGAAGCAGACCTAGAGTTTCTGGAGACGTGATCCCTGTCCCCCAGCCCCAAATCTAATATCTGATGGGGAAAAATCAAATGGACAACATCAGATGGAGAAGAGAGAGAAAACACTGTCTTTTTAGCAATACTCTCTGCCCTTTCCGATTTCCAAAGAAATCCACAAAGCAAAACAAATGTGCTCAAACACCACCTCACCCCACCCTACACGCGGGAGGCCTGGGCCCTGTAGTCTGGAAGCTTCCTGGCTTTCCTATGGGAACACTGGGTGTGCTTTGAGGCACGCTCCAGAATGCCTGGAATTTTCCACCTGTGGCCCTCCCTGCCAGCTACGAGCCGAGGAAGGAGTGACAAACCAGCAGAAGCATAGCTTCCAGTCTGATGCCAAAGGATCACGCAGAGACACTCAGAACTAAACCAATCACAAGAACCAGAACTATGGTGTGCCTCCCAGGTGCCAGGCATTCACATATACTATCCAATTCAACCCCCGTCCCCGCCACTGTGAGGCTGAGACCATGATCTTCATTTTACAGGTCAGGAGGCCCAAGTTTGGCAAGGCTAAACAACCTGCTTCTCCAACCTCAACACCAGTGTCTGTGAATGGTAGAGATGGGGTTGGAACCAAAGCTAGGACATCACTCCTCCACACTGTGACTGCCCCGTGACCAAGCCACTGATAACAGAGCCACGGACCCCATAACTTCCCATGCAGGCCGGCCTCAGACAGTCACTGAAGTCAGCACGAGATCAAGATCGCTTCTTTCTTGCGTACCCTCAGGACTTAGCACATAGAAGGCTTTCAACAAAGCAGAATTGAACTCAAGTATCACTAGGTCATCACACAAGCCACATCAGGTCATTGGGGCAAATGCCAGCACTCTGACTCTAAACAAAGGTGCTGACGGGAGGCCCTGGGGGAGCCTTGCTGATGGGTAGAGTGCTGGCCTGCGGCCACAGAGGGGTGCTCAGCTTTAGTCCTGCAGGGTGAGGGGGCAAAGCAAGTGAAGAAAAACAGGTTTCCAGGCCCTGAAGAAACGGACGTCTGTGACCTAGGGGGCCCCTCTTTTTCCCCCTTTCCAGTGAGTGGGGCTTAATCTAGGGTTTTTTGTTTTGTTTTGTTTTTTGAGGCTGAGTCTCACTCTGTTGCCCAGGCTAGAGTGCAGTGGTGCGATCTCGGCTCACTGCAATCTCTGCTTCCTGGGTTCAAGTCATTCTCCTGCCTCAGCCTCCTGACTAGCTGGTCTTACAGGCATGTGCCAACACACCTGGCTAATTTTTGTATTTTTAGTAGAGACAGAAAGACAGGGTTTCACCATGTTGGCCAGGCTGGTCTCGAACCCCTGACTTCAGGTGATCTGCCTGCCGCGGCCTCCCAAGTGCTAGGATTACAGGCATGAGCCACCAGCCTGGGCCAATCCAGGGTTTTTACAGTAATTTCTATTCTGAAACTGCAACTTCACCAAGAAGACAGACAGTGGAGAGAGGGTAAGACTTCTAACCCAGTCTAACACTGTCGCTGTGTTCTTTTGGACAAATCATTCCCCATTATTTGCCTTGCTTCCCTGGCTGCCAAACTGGGCCAGTAATGCTGACCACCTTTTCCCTTCGGGGAAAAAACAGCAGAAAGTGTTTACATCCAGCAGAGCTCAGAGCTCCTAGAGAAAAGTACTAGATACACACTGTACCTGTACCATTCAAATGGAATCCTGGGTTGTTTTTACTTACACTGCCAAACTAAAAGTATGTGGCATTTCAAATCTGTCCTCTAAAGCTTTAAAAGCCTTTTTCATTTCCTGAGTGCTATGGGATGGAAGGTATTAATCTGTTTTAGAGAACAGTGTATTTTCTCTTTTGGAATTTGGGATCTCTGGGTAGGTAAGAGAAAATTAGTTTAAAGAATCAATCTAGTCATTAATTTCTACTTACAGACCCTCCTCTTTGGCACATGTCCATCAAAGGTTATAGAAACAATGTTAATCTGGGGGAAATCCTGCCTCAGCCTCTCATCCTCATGGAGAGCAAGTATTTGTAATTCCTCCTTTAAAAAAAAAATTTAAACTCGTTTCTTCCTTGAAGCCCTTTCTAAACAGCTACTGATCTTCCCCAGCTTAGGGAAGCCATTAATAATGCTGGGCCCTCAGGAGTCCTTTAATGCCTTGCCTTTATTTGGGATTATACTTGCTCCCTGAGGCCCTCTGGGGGTCTGCATCCCAGATAAGGATGAGCAGGTCCCAGTGGGCCTTCCGGTGGGTGGCACCACAGTCACACCTCAACCCAGACCAGAGGGCAGGGAAGTGAGTTAGCCTGAAGTCCCCACTGCCTCCCAGCATCTCCACCCCCGGCGGCCGGGTTCCACCTGTGTCCGGCTCTTGCTCTCGGTGATTTGCCAGCAGGCTGGCACCTGCTGAAGAGCTAACTGGTAACTAAGGGGACAGCCGCTTGTAGTAAGATGCAGGACTGCCCTTGACCCAGACACTCCTGGGCACCTCCAGATACACTCCTAGGCACCCGGATACTCTTAGGCACCTCCAGATCCTCTTCGGCCTCTCCAAAGGCCACTTGTTTCAGTCCCACCTTCACTCCCATGACACCTTCATGTAGGCGCCAACAAAATTCAGCTGAGCCCAACCCAACAATGTCTCACCTCAAGGCTACACCGCTCACCACGGGTCCTGAGGCTTCCCTGTTGACCCTGTGATATGGTTTAGGTCTGTGTCCCCACCCAAATCTCATGTTGAATTGCAATCATGTCAGGCAGGGGAGGGATCCGGAGGGAAGGGCTTGAATCTTGGGGGCGGATTTCCCCCTTACTGTCCTGGTGATAGTGAGTGAGTGCTCATGAGATCTCATGGTTTAAAAGTATGGCACCGGCTGGGTCAGTGGCTCATGACTATAATCCCAGCACTTTGGGAGGCTGAGGTGGACAGATCACCTGAGGTCGGGAGTTTGAGACCAGCCTGGCCCACATGGTGAAACCCCTGTCTCTACTGAAAATACAAAATTAGCCAGCTGTGGGGGCGGGCAACTGTAATCCCAGCTACTCAGGAGGCTGAGGCAGGAGAATTGCTTGAACCCAGGAGGTGGAGGTTGCCATGAGCTGAGATCGCGCCATCGCACTCCAACCTAGGCAACAAGAGTGAAACTTAATCTCAAAAAAAAAAAAAAGTGTGGTACCTCCCCTCTCGCTCTCTGTCTCCTGCTCCACTATGGTAAGACATGCCTTGCTTCTCCTTCGCCTTCTGCCATGATTCTAAGTCTCCAGAGGCCTCCGCAGCCATGGGGAACTGTGAGTCAATTAAACCTGTTTTCTTTATAAATTACCCAGTCTCAGGTACTTCTTTTTTTTTTTTTTTTTTTTTT